CCACCAGCGGCGACATCTTAGAATCACCTTTCCGCGGTGCTTGCCACTCGCGTGCGCTAGTGGTTGCTGCCCGGACTAGCAGCTAGCAACAATGCGTTAAAGTGGCCATTTTGTAAGGGCTCTATGTGGTTATATTTCTGAATGTTATGACACTGTTGATGGTGTTGCGGTTGTTGAAGCTCCAGCAGCGGCGACATCCCAGAATTACCCACCGATTAAGATTTGCTTGCACGGAACTACCCCACCCCCACCCCTCCACCATTCCCAACCTATCGTCCTTACAATGAAGCTGAGTAAAACGTAGTGCCCGTGGGGGGGCGCCTGCTACTACTACTACTACTACTCCTACTACTACTACTACTACTACTCCTACTCCTACTCCTACTCCTACTGCTGCTGCTACTACTACTTCTTCTACCCCTACTCCCACTGCAGCTGCGACTGCAACTGCTGCTGCTACTGCTACTACTATGATGATGATCGTCTCTTCTAATTCCAACTTGCACGCCCGGCCTCAGCGCTGCCCCAGGTCACCACCGAACCGTCCAATCTCAACGCGGCAAAGGCCGCCAGCGTAGCCCAAACTTCCTTCACGTTCTTCAACTCCTCCTTCTAAGGTGATGGTTTGCCATATTCTAGTTAAGGGCGTGCATGTAGGGAGTTATGTTCTCACACTGGGCTCGCCGATGACCGCGCATTTGCATACCCTAGATTCCTAGATGTTCGCATGGCATTCCTCGAAAATGACAACGCTCACCTTGACGCTCAATAGGCAACTCAAGTGTCCATCCCGGGATCTTCGTGTCCGAGTCACCCCTCTCGTAATCATTGCTTGCTGTTGGTGCTTCAGAACCATCATCCTTGCAAACTACCATTGTTACTTAACCATGGCATCGTTAACACAAGGACCAACTGGTTTGGGGCTGCCATCCACGCATCCGCGTTTGAGTTCCACATCGCCGCTTCAGGAGTGCCAGCAACCACAGGGATGGTGCGAGTCCAGACCCGGCAACTTCCAGCAAAATAATGCTCTACAGCGATGTACATGGTGTTTGGTGATCATGGATGGTGATCCCAAGGTTGTCAACAACCCGCAGCCACCCTAACCCTCAAACTTAAATCCAATGATAACAACTCCTGGAATCCAAACAGCACCATCCGAGGGGAATATGAGCATTAACCTAATCGCAATCGTCCCTCAGTTTAACTTCTGCCAAACAAATCCCAATCCCTCGCCTGATTCGCAACCCAATTCTCTCTCGAGCTGGGGGCTCAGAGTACTTTTTACAAGACTCCCTGAAAAGGCTTCAGAGAACAGTTTAGCTCGCTTTTGGAAGGAAAACCGACACGCAACTGAGGCTTCTTGTCATCCTGCACGGTGTAAGTGTCGCCACCATGAAGCCTTGAACCCCAGGTGACCACATGACCGTCAGAGCGGACAGCGGCAAACGCAGAGTTTGTCGCACGAATGTATTGCACCTCCTTCAGCTGCTCTTGTACTCCAGCACTCCTGAGTCCACATTACGCACTGCCAGGTCTACTTTCAAATAAATGAAAGGACTCGGGGTGTCCTTGCAGAACCTTCAACCAGAAGCAGTAAGCACAGGAAACCAGGGCGACCAAGGCTCTCTCCTCCATGATCTGCCTCGCCCCACGTGACAACTTTGCCGCTGGCCAGGACTGCTGCAAACGCACGCTCAGTAGATCGGATAGCGCTCACCCTCCTGGGAGTTCTGCAGAGCCCTGGAATCATCAACAACGCATCCGAAAATCCCCATCGTTACCAAAGGCATACCTGCCCCAGAAGTAGACCGATTTTTGACCATGCTCCTCAACAAGTGTTGGACATGCTCGCTATATCCCCCACCGAAGGGATTTCCCCACGTGACCACTGAACCATCAGCCCGGATGGCTGCAAAAGCACGAGCGGCAGCTTGGATCTCACGCACATCTTTCAGCTGGTCCTGCAAGTCTCATGCCCTCCAGGCATTGACCCATAAAAGTCATACGATGGTCATAGAGTTCTTGTTTTGGGGAACTGTTCCAAGACTCTTGGAGAAGGCATGCCCTGCCAATAGATGCCATTCCTCAACCCGCCATAATTCCAACAAATAATCCTCGAGTCAGCTGGCGTAAACATCATTTGGAAAGCTCTGACTGGTTGCGTCATCCTGTCACGCCCATTCCGGGCAGCAATGTTGCAAATTGATCTGAAGTTATAAGTGCCAAAATATACACGTCTGTGTGATGAGATATGCTCCAACATGACACCCCTCAAAGCTGAATGTTGTTGACTCATCCCGAAGGCAAGCCCCAGACCGCATCCCGGAATTCTGCACTCTTTAACTCTAAGCCCTAAAGCCTAAACCTCAGACTCCCAAAACCAGAGTCCTGCACATGCGTGCAATCACCGCCAGGACCTCTCTGACCCCAAACGACCACACTGCCGTCAGCTCTCAGGGCCGCAAAAGCACCAATGGAGGCCTGCACAGACCTGAGTTGCTTAGAGTTCAGAGGTTTAAGGGTTCCTGTTGGTACCCTCCCCACTAAACATGGAAGCCCACAGGGTAGGTCATCAAAATGATGGTCCTGCTTCTTAGTCACCTCCAACAACGTACCCTCAGATTTCGGACAGTCCAAGGGCCATCATTCTGACTGATAGGGCTAGAAGCATTTTAGGGGATCTTTCGGGGTTTCATGTGGATTTTGGTGAGCTTTTCCCATCTGTCTGAAGCAACACGCGGGGAATTCTGTCCAAGGGCTTCGGGTTCGAGAGTTGCCTTGCCTACACTTGCAGTATGTGCAATGTCTTACAATACAAGCAAAATTGCATCCCCTGACTGCGTAGCCCTGGTCAAAGAAGATAATACTGTAGAGGCTACTCTGAGCCCAAACCCTAATCCCCACACCCTAAACCCCAACTCCGAAGTTTCAACATAGACCAACTCCGCAAAGCGTGAGTCATGGGCCTCATTATCCCAAGTGACGTCACCTGTGTCAGCTGTTCTGCAACATGCCGGCTCGCACCTGTACAGGAGGTCCATGGGTTGCTCACCAATATCGTGATGACAAGCGCGATGGATATGGGTGGAGGGCATAGGGGCTCTTGAACTCTTAAACTTTTAAAGAGCCCCCCATGTACGTTAAAGCTCAGTCAACAAGGGGCCTCAGGGTACTAGTCCCTTTTCCTTGAGGGGCAGAGTGAGCGTGGCGAACGTCAAGAAGAGCAGAAGTTCTTTGATACTATGTGGGGTATGTTGAACAGCGCTGAGAAGGGATCTGAATTTATGGCCCCTTTCAAAGGATCCGGCGGATGTACACCCACCACATTCCCAAGCCACCCTTTCTGCAACCATCAACAAGTGGCGTAAAACCCTACCCCACATGACAAGACAGGAAGCCGCGCAACGCTAAACCGTAAAACCCAACAAAATGCCTGCCAAAACCCTGATAAACCTACAACCCCTGTGCAACGCAGACCTCCGCAATCAGAATCTCCCCATGTCACCACACTGCCGTCTCGGCGGATGGCCTCATTATAGTTGCCCCAATGCATCTCAGTGCGTCTGTGTAAAGATAAAGGACCTGGGGGTGATTAGGGTTTAGAGTTTGGGGATAGGAGTTTTCAACAATATGGTCCGTTCAGAATCCCCATTTTCGTGTTGGTTCATAATGTAACATGCCCACGTGGTTTGTGCGTGCTCTCCTCGCAGATGCAACATTGAAAGCCCAAAGGCTCCTGCGAAGATTGTTGCTCTTTTGGAAAAGGTTGATAGAATTGTTGGGGCTCATGGGGGATGGACTGATTTTGCAAGCGCCGGCACTACGTTGAAACACAACATTCGGATGTTTGGACTTAGGAATCTGTCGAAATAACCTTCATGTACTCTGAGCTTGGACCCCATTATGCCTCTACAATTCCACACACCCTTACGGCCCCGCCCAGCTTGCTGTTGGAGGAACAAGCGGCAGCAAAGACGTCCATGTATTCTTGCTGGAACATGGGCCACACATCTCCAGCCTGATGGCAGCTTGTGATTCGCATGTGCATACCTAAGATTATTCCTGAATATGTGGTACCTGGCTACTGCTGCGGCGTGGTCTGCCATATGTAAAGGCAATGGCATTTGAGCAGCGAACTGCCGCCGTCATCTTCGAACATGCTGGAAATGCAGCCCCTGTATGCTGAACAGAAGATTACCTTTTACATAGGGTCGGTGTCTCTGGCAGAGTTCGTCTGCAAATAATTGCATGCCAGGCTTGGGACGGTGTGGTCTGGCTGCATTTTAGGCTTCCTAGTGAGAGGCTCTCGTCTAAGAATGGCTTCGGCTGCTCAGTTGGGGGAAGCCTCAAACCCCACCTCTTGCATCAGCTCGTATGTGGCGCGGATCTGGCACCAGGACGCCGCCGCAATGCACGTAACCTCCGGGGCACTGGTGACGGTCTGGAGTTTAGTGTAAAGGGTGCAGGGTAACGTGTAGGCTTTTCTGGCTTGGGATTTCGTTCCGAGAGTCTATGTAATCTCGAGTGTCAGGGGTCGGCTGCAGGGTCGGGGAGCAGAGTCAAGATATGGCATCCAGGGCATTAGGGCGCAAGGTGTAGGGCTCAGGGCATAAGATTTTGGATTTACAGTTTCGGGTTCGGTTTTTGTTGGGAAAGTTGTCAACCTATACGGTCCGGCGACAAGGTCCTGGAGGGATGTTTGCAAGGGTGTATGATATCTATGTACAGAATACATTTATACCGATACTTCCTGACAAGTCTCAACCCTCCCCAAACCAATAATCCAGATCCAAGGGCCTGTCAAATAAAACATTAAGAAGACCATGCGCCGGAATGGGGAACCTGATCATTTTTACAGATTGTTCAGGGACCCCAAAGGAAAAGTGCAGGCCTGCATTCAGATGAGCTCTTGCATCTTCCGTATGAGAGCGAAAAGTTTCTATAAGCTTTTTTCTCATGCTCCCCAGCCTCATAGGGGGTCAGTACATTTCAAAAGTGCCCCACCGCAGAATGTCCGCAGAGTATGCCCAAACGCAGCGTAGCCCTGCAGTGGCACAATGGCCAGCCACAACCCCTCACCATGATGAATCGCAGAGCATCTCTGCAGCGCCCAACCGCAAAGCATGCAGTGCCCAATTGCGGAATATCCGGAGCAGAACATCTCTGCAGTGTCCAGCCGCAGATTTTTTCACAGCTGCTTCATCCCATAGTTTCCCTGCGCCCAACCCCAATGACATCCCTGCAGCGCCCAACCCCAGGGTATCCCTGCAGAGCCCAACCCAAAATACTCCACTCAAAGTACGCCGGAGGTTCTTTGCAGTGCCCGCCGTTTTCATGAAAAAGCCAAGCCTCACACAAAGCCACCCCACCACCCTAATGGTAGTGCGTAGAATGTGCAGTTGCTATGTCTGCAGGCTGGCATATCTTTTAGAAGTGAATTGAGGATGCATGCTCAGGATGCATGCTCCATATTTGTTGCTGGAAATAGTTGATGATGCCAGGAAGCCACAAACAGGAAAGGGTGCGGATGTTCAAGAAACATATTTTGGTTTTCATTATAAGCCCCTCTCGAAACAACTCATCGATGTACATGTGATACTCTGACAAACCAGGCCAATCGCCCACGTAACGCATGTTGCTTCATTGGGAGAATTTTCCCACGCCATGACTAGTTGCATGAAGCTGCACTCCGTTAGCGCCTCTGCAGATGGTGGCGCTTTGGCACTCCAGGATGCACGCGTAAACCGTAAACCCAACTCCTAAAGCCTACGGACAACTAACATCACCTCACCTCCTACACCCCCCCAAAACATATCTGAAAGCCCCCCGCCTCACTTCCTGAGTATAGCCCTGCGTCCGCCAGCGTTGAGTTCACGGGTAGCGGCGCAGAGGCTTCTGTGAGTTGAGGGTTTCTTTGTTTCGTGCTTTGGGGTTATGCTTTGGGTGTTTGGAGGGTATGCTGTAAGACCTACCTGAGAAAGCCAGTGGATTGCAAATTCGGAATGGGGAACGTACCCTTACCAGAGTTTCTCTTGAGGGTTGCGGGAATTGGGGAGAACTGAGACGCCATTGTGAGATTTGGGTTTGAAGCACAACCTTGCACGATCTTCCCAATTTTGGGGTTCCTTTACAAGGACTCCACTTGTTTCAGGGGCGTGTAGAGACCCTGGCTTTGGCACCATGTGGGGAAAGCTGGGGCTTGCAGAGACTTTGAAAGTCATCGCCGGTGGTTAAACTGGAGAGAAGGGATTACCTGGATCTCTGAACCCAAAGCCCAAACCATTAAAGCAGAAACTTGTCACCCACACTGAAGGTCATAAGCCTGCCTGGGCCCTACCCATCTCACCCTGTTGGAGCAAACACCTCTACAAATCCCAACCTAGATGCTGCGCAGCCCTACTACCAATCCTCCATGCAGACATGGAACTCACAAAGAGCTTTATGCAGACAACCTATATGTGGTTCCATGCAAGTTTGGATTTTTCAGAACCCAAGTCAACAGCCTTCCAGTGAGCAAATGCTCGCGATGCGCACGCCCAAGCCTCAGGTGGCTGTGCTGAATGGGAATTTACCCTCACACAAACAAACAACGAACTCGAGATGAGGTATAGGATTGGGTCTAGGGTTTAAGGTTTTAGGGTTCAGGATCTAGGCTTTGGAGCAGGCTCCTCTTGATGAAAGGTTGTAGTCTTTGTGGGGCCTCTTCTGATTCCATGTAAGTTCAGGAGCTAGCATATTAAGATCACAGTGCTCATGTTATGAGACCGTAGTGTTCCATAAGCCGAAAAAACAAATCCAACAAAGGCTTCTTCAACAACATTATGGTCACCGTTGAAGTCATGCGTCTTTTGGCAAACCACATCGCCTAGGGCCCCAGGGATTTAGGGGAAGAAGGACTCCAAACCCAGGGGATTTACGAAATCCTAATGGGCTCGTACGAGCTCCTAGGCTTTGCACCCTCAAACCTTTAAGGGCTTAGGGCCCAGGCTACCCTGAGGCCCAACAATCAGACAAATCGTTCTCAAGAAGAGAAACCGTTGCTTCCGAGAATAGAGAAGCGGCTTCCGAGATCCCATGCAACCCTAAACCTTCACCCCTGGATTCACCTAAGAGCCGAAACCTGAGCCCTAGGCCCCGTACTCTGAAGCCAACAAATCCTGAAAGCAAAACCGTAAAACCTTCATCCCAGGTTCTTTCCTGGGCGCGTTGCCGCAGCTCACGCACAGTGCAGTTAGGCTCTAGGGCCAATTCCGCGCACCGGCCGCTGAGAAGCTTCACCTGGGATCCACGGCCATTTGTCGGTGCGGAATGAGTCTTGTTTTTTGGTAGCTAAAGTTTAGCTCTTGGTTTAAACGCCTCAAGGGTCTAAGTTTAAGGACAACTAAGGGCGAAGTGTTTGAAGTTTCATGGTTTAGGGCTTTGCTGTTCGGGGGGCCTTAGGGCTTCAGGCCGTGGCCGGTCAGGACCCAAGGTTTTGGGGATTCCACAGCCCGACCGAACCCAGGATTTCTGGTAAGGTTTGAGACGCTCGAGCGATAAGCAAGTTATGGCCTATAGTCTCTCATTATGCGGTTACTAGAATGGATTGCACTATGCATTATGCCCATCTAGACCATGAACATCTGCCTGCAAGCCCAACAACCCAAAAATTAGAACCACATGCAACAAAACCTTGGAACAGCTTCTTACAATCCCCCACAAAGACCTGTAAATTGAACTCCCTCCGCTCTGTGTCTGTATCGCATCCTGAGAATCTCATGGAACGTTGAAAGAAACCCCAAACACTAATCTGTAACTTGCCAGTGTTTGCCAGAGATTCCTCTCGTTGATACAGGACGCAGGTACTTTTGAGCTACTCCACTGGATCCCGAACTGCAACCAGAGTTGCTGTGATGGACAGCGCCATGGGAAAAGAGACGAATCTCTAAACGCACTTCCAAAGTTTCCAAGGCTTGGTAGGTTTACGAGGTTGAAGACCACAGGCCTGGTAGAGGGTTGCACTTCTAGGGCAGTGAAGGATTTCCTTGCCAACTTCCTGCAGAGGCATAATTCATACTTCTTCCTCCGTAAAGGATTGAGCAAGATGGATGCTTTGGGCTTCATCCTCATCCTTGTCATGCACTCCTCCAGACAGTGAGCCAGGCGCAGCTTCAGAACGCAAAAAAAGTCCCGTCCCGCCAGATTAAACACATCCACCGCCCAATCTTCAGGATTGACAATTTTCCGCTTAGGGATTCCCAAGTGTTCCAAGAATGAACTTGAATTATTGGTATCACCTGCTCATTGAAGAACCGGATGCTCTACTGATGTTCTACTGCACAATATGCAGACAGGCCCCTCATTGGGGCAGTGGGGCTGAATTTGGGGAAGGCACTACATCCTTGAATTTCACACACACGTACGGTGGTCTTCGACGCCCTCCATGCCCCGCGACTGGAAACTCAGTAAAGCATACAACTCGCACACCCTGAGCCCGTAAGCATTTGTGCCGGCAGTAAAAAGCAAGGGGCTATTGAGGTTTAGGCTGTAAGGATCGAAGCTTAAGAAGGAAGGCTTAGGCGGCATGACCCCTCAAACGCAAGTCCGTCCTCGATAGGATCCTTGGCAAAGGGAAGATATCATGGACTTCCACAAGCACTGCTGGCCTTGTCCAAGCGGCTGTCTGACCGCTTCATGGCGGCATCATGATGCGACTGCGAAAATGGACATTGGCTGGAGTTTCGTTGTTTGTGGTTTCCATGTATCCGCAGGCATGTAAGGTTTTGCGGTTTATGGGGCTCAGGATGCTTTAGGGCTGGGCGCTAAATCCAAACCACTAACTTGAATGCCATGCTCGGGTTGCTGACTGATGGTGGGATTGTTTGGAAGCCCTCATCTGTGCACTACCGAATTGCTGGTTAGATGGCCGCAAAGCATGTTCAGAATTTGGGGGGTTTTTGGTGTATGCACACGAGAGGCCAGCTGTGGACGCATCGCTGGCGGAATCTATTGTATCCTGAGCCTCACGCCTTTAACCGCACACGCAGAAGAAATCCTAAGCCTTAAAACATCGTAAACATCGTCTGAGTTGTCAAATTACGGTCCTGTTAACTTTGAAAAGTTTCGGGCAACAAGGCAGTAGAAGGGTTTTGTAATCGAGACCCTTCCAGGCGCAGAAGCTGAGTGCAGCTCAAATCCGGGATTTCTTCTGCTTTGAAGATTGGAAGTTCAAGCAAGTGAGGATTTCAAGGCGTAGTGGTGAGGGCTCGCACAAGCTGACATCAATGAAATCTCATTCACAGTTGGGGAAGAGCTGTAGATCCTCGGTGAAATCGCAAAGTAGACAACATCCCTGCAACCTTCAGCTGCGCGGGAGAGCGTAAAAATGCGATTATGTATAACATTGTATAACGTGATGAGTCAGTTGGGGTGCGTGCAGTATGAGGACAGTGGCTTTGGAAAATGCCCACGCAAGTAGGAGCATGACTCACGCCCCTGTTTCATATATACCGGCGAGGAGTGTAAGGTCCTCCGAAGGCCTTCCTGTGAAAAATGAGCCTGACCTTTATGCCTGAAGCGAGGTCAAGGTTTTTTTGCCAGCATGCTCAGATGGACAGTGACGGCTCCTGCATGTACATCTATCTTGAACTACAACTCTCCTTGCATGCTGCAGGTATACTGCAGAGGCGCCCAAGAGCGCAACTTTCCCAAGCAGCAAGGTCTAGATCCCAAAGCACTTCTGCAAACCTACCCGAAACCCTAAGCGCGAAGCCAGCATGAATAGAACAGGCGTCTTGGAGTAGACCGAAATATAACTAGATGTGAAACGTGAGGGCACAATACTCGAAGTTGTTCGGGCGTTTTTAGTATCCTGAGCTTCCACATAGGGAACATGCCCCAAATTTCACGAAGGATCCTCGCTTAAGGCAAAGAACAGCCTAGGTGCATGGAACCTTGAAGCACGCCATAAGATTGCACTACGCAAAAACCCAGCTCCCCAAAACCACAGAAGCCTAAAACCTGACACACCCAGTCCCACTGCTTAAACCCTCAAACCACAAACAGTAACCCTACAAAACATCTGCATGCTCCATTAATAAACATTTGAGGTTACCCCATAAACACCTTAAATCCCAAATCACAAGACTAGACTTTCAACCCTGGATCCCTAGACCTTCAACCCTAAATCTGTAAACCCTGAATCCTTAGTCTTGAAGGCTTGGCCCGAATCCTAGACCTAAACTCTACCCACCATTTTTCTTTTGCTCGCCCACAGGTGCGGCTCCAATTGGCTCCGCGGTCTGAGAGGTCTCCTGTGGAACAGGTGAGGACTTCAAAATCCGATATCTTTCTTTGCTTGGTGGTTTGGGGTCCAATTGGTCGCAGGAGTGGTTTCAGGTTTCGTGGTTTGAAGTTTTAGGGGCTTAGCATTCTGGGGCGCGGATAGGGTAGTAGAGGTTTAGGGCGCAGCATTTGTCAAAGTCAAGCTCTTCTTATCGGCCCAAAGTGTGGAAGCATGGTATATACTGCGAACTGAAGTCTAGGCACATGTACAGAGCATATTAGGGGTTATATGCCAAAGTTATGGGGATCCATCTCTTGAATGCTCACCAGATGTTACGGGCTTACGTAAAATGGGGCCCCCTGAAACCCCCCCGAAACCATCATCTCCTTCTCACAGAGACTGGAACCCTCTTCTGGTGGAACCAAAGCAAAGCTCCCTGTTCGTCGCTGACTCGTGGGGAGCACAGTAGGGACCTTCAGGGCGTATGCCAGTTTACGGCCTTCAAGTAGGGCCCATGCAGATTAGGGGGGTTTTCGGGTTTTCAAGGGTTAGAGCTAGGGTCGGCTCACTATTTCAAAGATGAGGGATGATAAGCTTTGGAAGTTTGAGGTTGCCAGGGAGTGGTGCCGCCTAGGAGGTTGTAAATGGAACTGTGGACAGCTGCTCATGGTTCCAAGGCACTAAAATCTGTTTATGGCCTGGTGACTGCTCCTCACGGTCTGCTAGGTTTCTCCTAGATCCATGCTGTCTAGAAGGCAGCCTTGGAAAGTCAAGAGATCCCTACAAAAGATGCATGGGAACCATACAAGCAGGCAAGCAACCCTAAACCCTAATCCTAGACCGACGCCCTTAGATCCCAAGCCCTCCTGTTCCTGAACGGATACGAGGCTGGCAAAGCCAACCCTGTTCTAGGTCTTTGGCCAAATACTGTAATGGTTCCTTTGGAAGTACCTTCATGGAGGACACAATTGTTTTCTCACAAGCAGGCACACTCTCCTCAAGATGCGAGCTGGCAACAGCAAAATGGCCTATTCCTCAAACCCTGAACTCTTAGTTCCTTTCCCTCCTCCTTCCCCTAACGCAATGCCTTAAGCCTGACAAAGCAGAACAAAAGGCGGATCAAACATCAAGAGAGGTGGGGACAAATGCACAAGCTTGGATTTCACTCCTCTGCCACCTCGACATGAAGGAAGCGGCACCGATTTCGTCCGCACTTACCTCTATCGAGCAGGCATTAAACGAATACGGTAGTACGCGTGGAATACTGTACCACGGCATCACTTCAGACATGTCATGAAAAAGCCAGTAAGACAATTGTGTAGTGTTTCGAGATGTTCCGTTGGGCTGAACGATGACAGCTATGGGATTGGGCCAGGGCTTTTAGCATCAAGGTTGGAGGATTATGAATTAGCAGGGTGCAGGTGCTGGAATGCAGTGCTGGACTGTTCGCTTTTGGAGGGTAGTGGGGAAGCGCTGCAACGTTCATTCAGATGTCTTGTCGTCTGAGTTCCTCCTTTTTTGTTATGTTTCATGTTCTGCTTGATATGCTAGGAATTTGCTGCCTGGTTAAAGGATAACCTTGTGGCTTACCGATGATGGTATCCGCTGGAACCCTTCAGCAATCAGGAAGCGCGAACATGCTGAACAACCTACAGCAGCTGGAACAGGAAACGCTCCTGGTTTTCTCCTGTAAGTGCTAGATCTGAGATTCAAGGCAAATGGACTTATAATTCCTGCTTCCTGAGTCTCGCTTACACGGATTTTGACATATGTCCATGCCGTGTCACTACAGTAGTGGCAACTGTTCAAGACTTCTGCTGACAGAACTTGTGGTTTGCAAAAAGCTTGGCGTGCCCCTCCAAGGCCACACACACACATCATCACACACACAGGCCCCGGGGCTTCTAGGGTGCGATTCCCGTCTGCACTCGCAGAGCATCACAATGTGCTCAAACTCCTTCAAAAAAGGCTTTGATGTTTCAAAGCCAAGCTCCTAAGCAATCCCATCATCAAGGAATCTAGATGGACACCGTCCCCAAAACCTGCAGGGATAAACCCTGAACTCTCATTTCCAAACATTTGGCTTGGAAAAAGCCGCCCCGCTGGCCTAGTAGAAAGTGCCGGCAAATGTTGTCCTCACTCCTGTACCGCCAAGGATTGAGCTTTTGATTCAAGAGAGGTGAAGGGGGGTGTTCATGGTTCAGGGGGTGCAGGATCAGTGAAATTCTGACCAGGGATCTGAGGAAAAACCTCGACAAATGAGCTCGTGGGGAATTCTTTCTTCTTGGATTTTTCGGGGCCCTAGAAAGGCTGCAAGAGCAGACACTGTTTGAGAGATGTGAGACTTTCTCGTCTGAGGCTAACAAGTAATACTGAGTCTCCAACGGGGGGGCCTGATAACTTCCTCTAAGTGCAATCATACCTAGATTTTGAAATGCCATGTGAAGAGCGAAGCAGATGCCTGCTGAGGCCTCTTTACAGCTGCTAGCAAAAACAAATGAATAATAGTCTTAACTCGTAGTATCCCCCTTAATAACCCCTATAATACTCCCCTATATACTATACCCCCCTTTGATGAGTTTAGGCTATAGCCCATCTTTGTTGAAGGAAACTTCTCATGTACCGCTCTGATCCGCGGGAGAATGCTCCTTGCGGCCTCGAGGCATGGCATCGGAAGTTACTTTGCAAAACGCAATGCCACCCGGTATCACTAGCATCTAGCTTGCAAGACTCACCACAGTGCTCTCAAGAAGTCCTCATTGTCAAGTAAGTATGACAAATCTACATCTAAGTTGTAAATTCCAGAGGCATATCCAGATCAGATACTGAGTAGTGGTTGATGGCAATGGCAGTGGGCTACTTGCAGTTGCAGGCAGTCAGACTTCTTCCAAGGCCCTCGGCATCTTGCCAACCAAAGCCCGGGCTGAATGCATGCCTGATTTTCCTTTCCCACCTACTTTATGGCAACTTCAGCCTGTGAAGTAGGCTGCTGTTAATGACTCCTTTGCATTTGCGCGAAGGAGCAAGGTGAGAGATGCAAGCGTACCGCAGTTAGGAGAAGTCTGATATGCCGTATACAGCAACGGGAGTGAGCCCTGTAAAATACCGACCTACATCACAAAGCTGAGTAAAAACCGGAAAGCTAAACTCCCTGAAGCACAAAATCATGAAACCCTACGCCTCTAAACCTCATTCCAACTATTCCCTAAACTACCAGACCCCCACAGTCCTACAGCAAAGAAGAAAAGAAGAAAGAGGAAACCTCTGAACCCCGACGCACGAATCCCTAAAACATCAACACCCCAGACGCTCAACCCCCAGACCCCAAATCCCACAACCTCGCAAAGCCCTAAACGCCTCGCCACTGCTGCATCTGCTGAGGCGGGGTCCTCTAAGGGATATTTTCTTCCGCTTGTGGCATAAAAAGGGGGAAAGGTAGGCCTCGGAATTTGGGCTGCCCTAACAGGGTTTTGTAAGGATATGTGGGACCTAGGAATTGGGCTTTAGCATTTGGTGTTCTTGATCCGTCTTCGGTGTGTCCATCCCTGAACCCTCAAAAACTAGATGTCTGAGGGAGGAGTGCCTTGCCAAGACCATGGGCCAGCTCTGTAAGGCCTTCTCAGCATCCTACGCTGCTGATCCATGGGTGCAGCATCAAAGCCGCAACCAAAACAAGCACCCCGACTTTGTACTCCAAACTCCAAAGGCTCAATGAACATTGGTTCTGAATGTCATGGGCTGTAAACCTGCACAAATCAATATGCTCAGAAGATTTCTTGGCATGTAGGCCCATTGCTTCTTGAAAGTACACACGGGGACCCTTTCCCTGGGCTCTGTTGAGAGAAAACTCGTTTTGTTCTGAGGGACTCTGTTTGATACGAGTTGGAATTAGCACCTTCGCCGGAACCCTGGGATTACCCCGAAGTGGAAACGGTGAAAGGATCATGCAGTCCCGAATGAGCCATGGATAGTCCTTTACAAGAAAGGACGGCAATAGAAATCCCACTTAGAAGTTTGAAGCAGCCCCTTCAGAACAACTGTCTTTATCAGTGGCCGAAACTCCTGCCTGCAAGACTCGAAGCCCTACGCGTCCACGCTCCCTCAACCTGACGGCCTCATCGCTAAGCCCTACTGCGAGTTTCATGGGCAGCTATCAGTGCGCTTGAGATGGAACGCGCATAGTTTGAGCCGAACTTCATGGAAAGGGACTCAAGTTTTGATTTATGATCCCACTCTACACGCATGACCCTCCCAGTAATCCCCGCACACTGGACCTCAACATCCTACAACCAAACCCCTACAGTAAACCCTAGACCCTGGTCCTAAAAGCCTTAACCCAGCCACAAGAAGGAATCAGACCCACTCCTCGCGTTGTGCAGATGCGGCATGCGACTCCTGAAAGCATCCCGAAAAATCCCCAAAATCCCTTTTTATGAGGAAGCATCGGCAACCCCATCCCCTGAAATCAGGACGCTATAGCTGTCACATCATAAGTGCAGAGGGTGCACAGGGTCCTCAGCTTACACTTTTGGACCGCTGGTGGATTTGCACAGGCCGGAAAAGGTTTGAAGCAGCTATCACTGCTTGTAAATTTTACGCTTTGCCACCTGTGCAGTTAGGGACACTCCTCCCTCTCCCTCCCTCCCTCCCCCGCTCTCTCTCTCTCTCTCTCTCGACCCACAATGTCTCGCACTACTCTGGGGGGGGACTTTTCGGAAGCGTAGGGTTCAGTCATTGCTTGAAGGGTTTAAGAAGTTGTGGAAATGTTGAAATCCTGAAGCCGTAGGGCTTGGGATAGGTCGTAAGGATTCAAAGCTCACAGTATGTTTGGCTTAAGGGTCCTCAAGCCCTGAAACCCCAGCCTCTACAGGATTACAATTTTTGCCCCACGTTGCCCCGCACGTCATTGCCTATGGAGGTTTTTACACAAGCACGCAGCAACTTGGTGAGATAAGGAGATCCTGCAGCCTGCCTCTTAAAAGAGGGCAGAGATCTTTCATAACCAGCAGCAACGTGGGGTAACATCTATAGCCTCGAATTGCTTCAGCATGTTTATGAACATGGTGCCCTGCATTCTCGCACTCCCAAGGGCTGAGTTGTCTTATGCAACGCCCTGCTGTTCCCATGCTATTTCATGCCCCTTCACCTCCTACACAACCCGTTTGGTGAGAGGTGCTGCATTGGGGAAAACCGAGTGATTAAACACTCAAACCTCAAGCCCTGAGACACTAAACCTCCAAACCCTCTGACCCTAAGATCCTGAAGCCCCTAAATCTTAAGATCCAACATTTTGAGGCCTAGCCCCTGCAACCCTCAGACCCTAAATCCCTCGTCCTGTTCAGTGCCAGCCGCAGGCGCGGAGGATGGCGCAGCGACACTATCCTAGAACGGGCTTCAAGTTGGATACTGTCCCCGGTAACTGTCCCCTGATTTTGTAATTGTAGCTCGCACTCTGCATAAATGTCTTATATGCATACATACATATATATGACTGTTGCACAGGGAGGGGGAATAAATAGCCAAGATTTAGGGTTCACGGTTGCGGGCTTGGGGCAAGGCTTCAGGCTGAAGGATTTTGCCTTTCAAGTTGCCCTGCCACGCGTTTGAGTTTGAGGGTGTAGGGGTAGAAACAAGCTGCCTGCCAAACCCTAAGCCTGAAACTTCTGACCCTAAACCCTGAAACACCAATTCCATAGCGGGCCGAGAGCCACGCAACCTATATCAATCTATGCTGAGCGTTGCCCTCGAGAACGGGCCACAGCCGACAAGGGTTATTGGAGGATGCTTGGGGTTTGAGGCTTCTGCTGGGTCCCTATGAGGAACTGGGAGAGCAGAAGAAGGGTTCGTGCTTTGGAATTTGCACTTAGGAGTTACACTCCGCCCAAAGCACTTGGAACGTTGAATGCAGGCCACTGTGCTGTGTAAAGTGAACCCAAACAAAGTTCTATGTTAGTGTAGGGGAGGGTAAGGTCTAACATTTCCGTGGCATGATGGCACCCTAGACAATTAAGGGGGCTTTCCAGTAGCATGTATCCAAGGATGCATGTTGCTGGTGTACAGTTTTGAAGCTCAATTTCCGTACTCAAATGTAAGGTCCATGGCTCAGGGTTGGCGTGCAGCTGGCGCATGTGCGATTTAAAGTCTTCCAAGGAACTCTGTTGGAATGCAAGTACACCCTGAATTGTCGTTCATGTCTCTGCACAAGACATGCAGTTGCTGAGAGGACGGTTCCCTTCTGCAGCTCCAAGACCAGGACCATAAGACCTATGGCCTTCTTGTCAACTAGGCATAGTTCTTTCACCAAGCTTGAGGTTTGGTAGCAGCTTAAAGAAGACTGCACAATAAACATGTTGCAAGATAAGGCGCAATGGGGTGCACTCCAGCTAGACCCAGAGACTCACAGAGCAAACTGTGTCCTCCTCCTGTACCAGCCCAGACGAGGCTGCGTTGTCAGTATCTGCATCCAGGGCCTGCGCAGCAGGGCACCTAGGACTTAACACCCACCATGAATTCTCAATGCGAGCATCTGGATCCAAGCCCTGAGCACTGAATCCTGAAGGCACGACTGAGAAGCACTTTCCTTTCTAAGCCTTGAATCGCTGACTTTGCAATCCCTCGAGCGTCCCGCTGCCATCTCTGCACGGGTCTTTACTTCTTGGATCCGCCCAGTAGGGAAACGGGCAACGAGCCTTTTCTCAGACGCCCGTCAGGAAAGGAAACACACTGCTGTAAAGGTAGTATAGGGAAACCAGGAAGGTAACCAAATGTGGGGGAATAGCTCTGCTACGTAGCTTCTACACCGCTGTTGCATGGCAAGAGGATTCCTAGCACGATTCTTGGGATCTGTCGAGGTCCATGCCCGCAAATCTTACTGTGCAAAACGTCTCTACCATCCCAGCACAAACATCCCGAGTTGTTTGGAGGAGAGCAGTCGAGCTAAGCTCAGTGAGCAACACAAACAAACCTATAACTTTCACTAGGCTGGCTTCGATGCCCCCCTTCATGCGTGCCTCTATGTAGGAGCCTCAAAATGCCTTTCAGGTTGTTCTGCAAGGTGACTACAATCACAATTGTTTTGTGAAGCTCCAGCCATCCCATACTTATCAGTAACTCTGCAAGAAGCAGAGGGAGGACCAAGCCCTCACACGCATACCCGCCTCAACCCTGTCGTCCTCCTCTTTCTGTGAGAAGGCGCTGTCTGCTGTTGTAGGCAGCTCATCCTCATAACGAGGGGGGAGGACAAGTTAGGCGGGGTGAAGGGTTTGGGGTTTCAAGAGTTTTGGCTCTAGGTGTTTCAGGTTTCGTGCTTAAAGCTTCGGATTGAAGAGGTCCCAATTAAGGGTTTAGAGCTCAAGTTTTAGGCTGTGAGAAAGTCTGAGGGTTGAGAGTCCAAAAGTTGCAGGGTTTCTCGGTGTAAGGGCTTCGAGCATTGGCGGGCATTTGCAGATTAGGGTTTAGGTTTAGGGTGTAGTCTCTACCTTGAAAACCCAAATCCCACAAAAACGGTACATACGGGAAATTCTCCACCCTCTTAACCCGAAGCAAGGACTACAGCGGGGGAGGGGGTGGCAATAATGAGACAGTGGGCTAAGGGTAGAACTGAGAAGCACTAGTAGGGAAACCCCAGGGCACAGAGTTGCGCAATTGTCACTCCTTTACATCGAGCCTGTGTAGTAGGTTTTCGGCTCCGAACCCGTTAGAAAGCACAAGCGGTCTTGTAGATGTTTGCTGGCCAGCCGGAAATTGGTTGTTGTCACCCCCTTTATTGCTGGTAGGTCAACATTACTGTCCGCAATCTTCTATCTACATGCCAAAAGATTTCGAAAGATACCTGCAATCCCAACCGCAAATGAAGCCTGAATCCATTACGCGGGGTTGCCTTTGCTCTATGACCCCCCCCCACCTTAAACCCTCATATCCTCAAACCCCCAAGCCCCAAACCAAAAGCCCGCATACCCAAGCCATGAACCCTGAATCCTCATCAGGCCCAGGCCTGTAAGAAGGAAGTCAGGCCCGCGATCTCTATCCTGCGAGGGTCGGCCTCAGTTGTTTGCTTGCCAGTCTGCTTGGGGTCAACAAGGATCCCAAAAGATTGTGTAAATGAAGGTTTACGGTGCAGGGCTGAGAACCCAGGCTTTTCGGCTTGGTATTTTGGGCTTAGGATTTAAGTCCGTCCATTGTAGGGCCATGTTGAGAATATGTAAAGTCTCAAAACTGGGATACTGCGTATGTACACACAAATGTATACATATGTGTAGAGGGAGCTGCATGCTGATTGTGTAGGTGCGGGCTAGCGGCTAGATTGGGATCTTAAGGCTTGGGCTTGTCACGTTACCGCTTGCAGTCCAGGGCCAGGTGGTATCGCAGAGCTGGAGAAGTCTGCAGATTTAGGTTACTTGTTCAGGCTTCGGGGTGTAGTGTAGAGTTTGGGAGTGCAGGAGTTTGGATGAGGCGTGTACATCTTGGGATCGAGCATAGGAACGTAGGGAGGCTCAGGGCTCCACCTTTCATCTTTCCGGGTTGTCCGCAAGTGTCTTCTGGCCTAACTTAGGCCACTGCCCCTGATCCCACTGCTCCATGTCAACAGGGTCGGAGATGCGCACGCGTGGAAACACACAGCAAGGGCCCCAATAAGCGGGCATGAAAACTGGTGAGCGCCAGAACCCAGTCCCTAAAGTCGAACATCCTTTAGGAGGACCTTCGGGACAACGTTCCTTTTGCCTGCGTGAGTGAGGCACCAGCAATGGCTTACTTAGAAGTTGCAAACACCATACACTCGGCTATAGTAATCATTTCGTAGCTAGAGCTATAGCCCCAGTTATTGGTGCTCAGAAATTTCTGCGAGTTTGCCTGGATCACTGTCCCCTAAGGAGGGGACACTTATACAATGATCGGTAATACACTAGGAACCCGACTGTAGGGACAAGTCCTATGCTGATAGAAGATTTCCCATATGTGGGTGCCTCCAGACTGCAGGAGAGAGCCAAATTACTATTGAAGATTCTAAGATTGCACAGGCATGATCGTCTAAGAAGTCTTGCTGCAACCTCCTGAAGTAATTCTTGAGGCATTAAGCAAGCGAAGCCAAACACTGGGATGGCTCTTCGCGTTGAGAGTTTCAAGGGCAGGCGCAGGGGAGCTGCACACTTCCCAGGCCCCGACCTTGAACTTTGCCTCGTATTTAACCAGTCTTCAGGATGCTCTCACCCGGTACGTCCCAAATGAATCTAAACAATTGTACTTCTTGGTTGCCCCGAGGGATATCCTGAAACATGGCTTTCTTAAACAAAGTAGAACTCCCGGGCACCCTCAAGGTAGGCAGAAGAAGTCCATGCTTGGAGAGGCCAGTGGAGTTAACACATTTTAACCTTTGTCTTTCGGTGGTGTAGGCTTAGGATGAGGAGGATTGAAGAACCCAGGGTTTTGGCTCATAACTTAGGATCCAGGGTCTAACTGAGATTCTGGCTTAAAGCTTAGGATTCTAGCTTTAGAGCTTCGAACTTTGGGACTTCATTATCCCCAGAAGTCCTTGGATAATTGTACATTCAAATCCTCCGCACGAGAAACCAGTAATTTTGAGAAACCCCAAACCATCTGAAAGCTCGCACAACATCTGGATCATCCAAGTGGCGTAGGGGTCCTGCGCAGGGCGTTGGAATTTTGAGATCCCCAAACCGTACTACCTTAAACCCCAAATCCTGAAACAATCCAAAACATGGCTGTTTCCTCGCCAAGCCTTGTTCCGGCACTTTTCGAGAAAGGTTGCAAGGGGAAGGAGAATATTCATGATGGGGCCAAGAACATGTCTTTGTCTGATTCTGGGAAGCTCTGCATAAACAGCGTATATTTGAGATGCAGTCCAATCTACTTCCAGAGCCCCACCATGCCATTGCTACGCAGTGCTCCGTGAAGTTCTTACAAATTCTGCTTGAGGATTCCAACGCAAACAGCTTGCCAAAGCATGGGGCTGCTTGCCGTAAACAACCCCTACAGGAGACATCCGTGTCTTTGGAACATGTCCCAAAGGCGTGGAACGTGCTATGCCGCACGGCTGTTCATTAGTCTTCTCATTTGCCAGCAAACGCCTTTGTGAAGAACCCTGCATGAGATGCCGGTGCTGTTGCTGGTGCCGGTGCTGGTGCTGCTGCTGGTGCTGCTGCTGCTGCTGCTGCTGCTGCTGCTATCATCTACCGATCACACCTTTAGATGTTTCTGGGCAAGGTTATGCTAGGGCCAAAACGTGACCTGAGATGCTGAAATCTATTTCGAACCCTTCTGCAGTTACCAACGCAAACTTGCATCCGGCAATCGAAAACTCCCTGTGGAGGCTGCTTCTTCGGCAGCACATAACAGTGACTCGAATGTTGACACATGTTTTCAACCCTGAGCAGCCAATCCTCCACATGCGAGAATCTGCAGTTCTTGCGGCAGCAAGTTCCTGAAAGCTCGGGGGCTTATGGTCGCTCAGAGGACCGTTATGGCGTCACTTCGATGAAGATCTCAAGCTAGGCTTTTAAGAATCCACGCGCAGGTTTGACGCGGATCCTTTGCTGTTGTGCGCGTTGAGCCTGTTGAGATCTTTGGATGGACAACTAACGGCTGCGCGGGTCCTTTAGGAAACCCCAAGCCCTTGACTCCTGCAACGAGCTCTGGATCTGTATGGTTAACCGTCGTGGTCGATTAATGACAACTAGCTGTAACTAGCTGTTTAGTTCGGCGACAATGCTCTCACAATGGCAGAAGATGATTGGAAACAGCCTCTGCCAATTGGTTCCGTAGCTTTTCTGTGTCTTTTCCGTGGGTTTGGGAGCATGCCAAGTTCTGTGGCCCCATGTGCTAATATCCACTCCAAAACGAAAACAACAACCCTGTGCAGAACCTGAGCTTGATTTCGATGGGGTTTCTGTACTCTCAGGCTTGTCCCCTCTGCAAAACTTCAAAACACGAGTCCACTCACACTTAAGACCAGAACAAGCAGGTATTGTACCACTCAGCTTGACTCTACTCTCACTGACTTTCACAGCAAAGTTGGAAGGCGCAAAAAATCACGGACACCCAAACAAAAAAAAACGCCAAAGCGAAAACCCTACACTGCGCGCTACAGAGCAGCTGCAAAAGTCAACAATGTGCAAAAATGCTGTGGACTTGGAGTCCAAAACTCAAAGCTTCGGGCTCAAGAGCTTGACAAAGGAAGGGTTTCGAGGTTCAGGGCTTTCGGGTTCAGGATTCAGCGTTCCGGGTGTAAGGGCATTGTAGCCGTTCCGTCTTCAAGTTGTCTACAAGAACTCTTTAATACTTGTACCGCTTGAGCCCAAGGGCCCCCGCAGTGATTTTCCTTTTGATAGTTGCCTGTACCGTAGCAACCTTCTTGGACCCTCTTTGGGGAGACTCTCCCTGCCTGTCCTATGCCTCGATACGCTCTGGTACAAAGCCTACATGTCCAACAAGCTAGATTCCTAAATCTTAAGCTGCGAACCCAAAACCTCTAGGTCCTGGGACCCACATAAACCTTAAAACCTAACACCTAGCTCCAGTTTGGCAGGCCTGAAAGGAAGTGGCGGCACACGAGACTGCTCTGCCTTGGCATTGCAACATGCAGGGGCTTGAAGAATGCGCAGCATCATCCCCTTATCTGGCCTTTGCTTAGCTGGGAATGAAGGAACGGAAAAGAAAATGGAAACTACTATACTGGGTTCTATAGGGACTACCATAAGGATCCATTCCCTCATTTCTAACTAACCAAAGGCCAGTTATCATCCTTGCATACTGATAGTCGAATATATCGCCAAACCTGGCTACGTTTATTTGAGGATTCCACCTTAGTTTAAGGAGCTGAAGGTTCAGCATGGACGTTTCAGACTCGTAGCGAAGGCCAATGGTGTTACGTTGAACTTTGGAGCCTCAAACCCCCAAACTCTGAAACCTGCAGCCAAAACTCTGAAACTTACACCAGGAGCCCTGGAACCTACACACTCCATCCCAACGATACATCCTAAGATCCTGAACCATGATTTGAATGTATGGGTTTGCAGCGATATCTCAATGGTTAAAACTCACTGATGGGAGTTTCCTGCTTTGAGGGTCCTGGATTTCTCAAGTCATGGGTTCCCAACGAAAGGGTCTATTTTCTAGGAGTTCAGGGTTTGGGGAGGCTTATGCATGGCCCGTAAGTTTGGGGTGCTCCACGATGCCTTAAAAAAGAGGTTTCTGCAAGTGTTGAACAAGTCTCTTGCTTTGCTTCCGTTTGCGAGGAGCGGATAACTTACAACAGTCCACGAAGGACCTTTGAAGGGGGGCATATGGGAAACACAGGGTAACACAGGCCTCTTCTTTCCGTGGCCGAAGGGAACAAGCTGCATCAAGTCCACTCGCCCCCCCGTCCCCGACCCCCCAAGCAGCCATACACCGCACGCAAAAGTAGGTGCCAAAACAAACCTCTCGACAACCCCACGAAACAACAAAAGTCCTTGATGTGGCGACTTCAGAATGAAGATCACAATTATGGCACACAACTCTGAGCCACAACCACTATTTCTCGTTTTCGAAACTGGACACGGATCCTACTCGGAAGGTCATTGGGGACTTCAATGCCTTGATACGAGGATGCATGCCGCACCTTTCAGACTCGCTTGTGATAGCCATTATGTTGACAGCAGTTCATGAAATCCCCATGCACTTGTGGGACTTGATGTTTTGCCTGGATATCGGCCTTTGCTTTTGGATGCTGAGGGCCCAACCGTTGTTGCTCCGGCGCGCGCCGCCCCTGAGGCCAGGGTGCTTTCAATTGCTAGGGTTCCATACGCTTCAAGCCTTGCAACTTTCCTCCTCCACCTCCTTCCCTTTTGCGTAAGCTAGTGGCTACAAGGAATTGTCCTCGCCAGTACCTCCAAGACGTTTGAGAATCACACTACGCATGATAATCTTTTCCATAGGGCCCAGTCCAGCCTGTGAAGGGCTGGTATTCTGGGGATTTCTTGGTTGATGCGTTCATGGAAGTTACGATTCATGATCTGGATTCCAGGCCACATGTTCTTGTCGCCTTCAGTCAGTAACTGCCCCCCATGGAAGGTGGGCCCTGCATTCCCTGCCCTGGTCCTTGAAAGCTTAACCTCCAGGGTCCGGTTGCGTTAAAGGCATGCTTGTGAGAAGAATGAGATCGGTCCTGCATTATCAACACTCAGCATCGTATAGGGTTCCGAAACAGGCCATCGCTGTCAAATTTGACATGTGCCTCGTGAACGCTCAGGCCTGAACAGTACGAGCCCAAACCTCCAAGCCCTGCAAACCCCAAACTCTGAACCTAGGCGGCAATCCCTGGCCCACGGCAGAATCCCAAATCCCAAGTCCTAAGCCGCGCACAAGGTGCCAAAAATCTGAGTTTCCAACATGGTAAGCACCAACCGGGCCTCTGCTGACTCTGCAGGCGCATGGGCTTAACGTTTCGGATGTAGGTTGAGGGGTTGAAGACAAAGGGTCCAAGGGTTAAGGTCTAAGGTTTAGGGCTGGAGGTTACAGGGGTCGAGGGGTTCAGCGCTAAGGGTAAGGCCATGACCTGGGCATCTGCTGCAAGTACTTCAGACATGGAATGGCGATTCGACTTTCCACACGCCCTGGCACGCCCTGAAATAAAAATCCTTTTGGAGATTTCCGGCTGAGAGGATCAGAAAATCAGATCTCTACTTTCAAGCGCACAGAGCATAGTGAGTAATTAGGCCAGGGTCTTTCTTAATCTTCTACCAGGTACACAAATCATAAGTCCTAGGCTCTGAGCTCTTGATCTTAGACCTCAACGCCCTAACGTTGCAACAAAGGCGGCAACGGCTCCTGTCCAAGATCGTGCAAGGCCTAAGAGCCCCAAAGACAAGCCTCTCCATCCATCATTATCAAGTTCCTGCTGGTTAGGATGCGCGCATGTCTCTGCCTGTCCCTGTCAGTCCCAAACTTGTTGCAGATTTGGAGGAATTGAAGCCCTTAACCTCAATGAGGACAGGGCCGTTCGGCTTCGCGGAAAAGCCCGGGGGCATCCAAAGCGGAGGCATGGGGAGGCCAGGGTACGGAGGCCTGGGATTCTGGCTTCCGGATTTTGGGCGTGGGGTTTTGGCAGAAGTTTTGAGGTTTAGGGTGAGTTTGGATTGTGGGTAATAAGGTGAAGGCTGAGGATTTTGGGTTATGGTTGCAGGCTAAGGATTTGAGGGTTTGGGTTTGAGTGCTTGGGATTTCAGTCAAGGCTCAAGGTTAAAGGGCTTGGACAGAATCTTTAGTCCAGGCTACAAGCTTCAGGGTATTATCGTTTGTCGGTTAGGGATCAAGGTGTGAGGAGAAGGTCTCGGCAGCAAGGATAAGAAACACATGCCAATAATTACATACTGTGCAGCAACAGGCTCTTGGGATTTGCTGAACCTTTTCCTGATACGGGCATGACAAAGGTAAGCCAATCTCACGCAGTCTGCAAGGGAGTTTCTCTGGGTCGAGTCCAAATTTCATTTCCATCCACATGACCCTTCAAAATGTTCTCAGGTAATGACCGCTTTCAGATGGGATAGTGCGGCACCAAGTCCTGTTTTAGACGCGCTTCGCGCGATGGCCGTAATGGCCTAAGAATTTTCGTGGGCCGCATACGTTTCCCAAATCCGTTCCAAAGGCGGCCACTTGGCCTGATCAGGGACTTGTTCCGCGCCACGGCGGCAATCGAAGTCTAGGCAGCTTCTCTTGAATCTGACGAAAGCAAGAGTGTCACTCTGATTCAATATCCCGGCCTTTCAGTCAGCTGTTGACCCCGTGCACAAGATCAAAGTACTGGAGCTCCCGCGTGTTAGTAGAGTAGATTTGGATGAGCGGAGCCGCGGTCAGTGCGCACTGTGTCCAGATCCTGCGGAGCTCTACTGTATACTCTGCATATACTCGGGGACAAGCAGCCTAGCTAAACTCCTAAGTCGTCCAAAGAACCCCAGCGTCTGAGAGTCGCGGAATCTCCGAACATCAGGCTGTAACTGCCCTGCTTTGGGGCTACATGAAGCCTAAGCCCTAAACCCTAAATACCACAAACCCTAGGTAAATGTGTAAGCCTTCTTCACCCTCAAGCCTAAATTCCTGACCTCATCCGAACAGCTCAATCTCTGGCTCCAACCTCAAACTTCAAACGTTTACGACCAGATTCAAGCCTCAAATGTTTAAACGTACAACCCCTCAAGTACAAGGCTCCCTACATTTGTACCATGATCCCCTGTAGTCACTGAGACAGGTGAAGGCGCCCACCTTAAATTTGTACAGTACGAACGCTTACCTGTCCTCAGCGCCCTTGTCCTTGGGGCCCGGCATCCAGGGCCATGCCATTGGAGGTGGCATGATTGGCCAAGGAGCCTCCGTCAAAACTGATTTAGCCTGCTTCGTGGTTTTAGGGCGGGTATATAGTATTTTGAACGCCTCCGGGATTATGTGTCTCGTGAAACCAATGATGAGCAGCCATGCCGGCCAAGATACGTACGTTCTCAATCTAGCAACTCCGATGACGCGTGAATCCATGCTGGACAAGATAATTACCATCTCGATCTAGTAAAGCCGATGGCGAGCACATCCACGGGGACCCGGACAAAGCTTTGGCGTCAAGGCCCAGTGATGTTGTGAGACTGAGTGCTCCAACATGCTGTCAGATTCCAACATAAGCCCAGTGGGGTGCTTGAAAGCACGATTGAAAGCACGATACCGCTTAGGGTTTTGGGTCCAAGTTTTAGGGTTCATGGTCTAAGGGTTTAGGGGTTCAGGATTTAAAGCTTACGTGCTTCCATGAGCATGAAGGGTGCTTATGAAGTACGACTGTGCGGCACTTCGAAAGGGATCATGTATGCTGAAAACAAAAACCGACAGCTGAGGATTCAACCGGAAACCCGCTAAGCTTCTTCCAGTAAAGAAGGCACGATAATCAGGAACTGATAGCAGCCGCAGGTGCATGTTTCGCTGGTTTTGAATCGGTGATCCAAGAACAGCACAGTACGAAAGGGTCGTAAGGCATGTTAGAGTTTTACAGAATTATGAGACAGTGTTGTTAACAAGAACTATTCAGGCTCCTACTGTTAGTAGCCGCGCTGATAGCAGGAACTCTGCATGACCTCCGTATATCCACCTACTTCATCATGACCCCCACGGATTGGGGTAGTTCGGTATGTGCTGCTAGTTTTTGCGTGTCTCCACGGTACGGTATGTTCAAAAATCTACCTGTCCTTGGAAGTGCCCTGCAAGCTTTTCTCCGTGCCTAGAAGGCTTCTGATTTTACGAGGAATACTGACAAATGTGAAGGCAACAGCTTGTGTTATTCAGGGTGTTTTTGCCTTCCAAATTCAAGCCCCTGCCGAGCGGCGGGGATTGCGGGGTTTCTTTTGAATAGGGCAGGGAACGCTTTCAAGAGGTGGCTTGCTTCTTGGCTGCCAAGGCTCTGGCTCGACTCAGAGCTTTGGGATTTCGTGGGTTAAGATTGAAAGTTGGCGGCTTAAGGGCTGTGGGAATATTGAGTTTGGGGTTTAGAGGTTTGAAGATTTCAGGCTTAAACGTGTAGGAAGTCAGGGCTTGGGTTTGGCAGAAGCCCCAAATCCAGAGATCTTCATGAAGGATTCTGTACACACTTCTTCGAGAGGCCCATATTATGTGTCCTGGCGTTGCGACTTCGGGAAGTAGGCTCAACAACTGTAAGAAAGCGTAGTGCAGAATACACATATCCATGTTAGTAATGCTGAAGAACTGGAGATTGCAACGTGGTTTTTGACTTCAGCATTCCGCCAGCTTCAACCAGAACTGCCAAGATCTATTGTTGAGCTTCTGGCAGAAAAGCCGTCCAGCGCAGGCGGCTGCGGCGGTTGGTGCAAAGCCTGCGATTTGTTTTTGTGGCTTAGGACAGGTTGTATGCTGCTTAGACTTTAGAGAGTTTGTGGCTCAAGGCCTAATAGGATGCAAGTGCCAGCATAGGGGCTCGACGGGTCAAACCCTTGGAGGAACACCGCCCCCCGATCTAGGAAACTTGCAAAGTGCTTCACGTGTCCAAAATATCTTGCAAAACAATGCAGGCAGGGAAGCCTAGGGCTCAAATCCGCAACTGGTGCCTCTGCCAGCTGTTTGTCTCAGATGATCCATGTGGAGGCCTCACAACTCCTGAACTAAATGCAAGATAATAGTAGAGCCTCCAAGCACGTTAATCCTTAACACTGACTCCCGTAGCCCCACCTCTCTTCCGAAGCTTCCTAAAGGCAACTATCCAAAGGATCAATTACCAAACCGCCTGAATCCGGGGCTCCAACGTGGGGCGAGTCCCTATTGAACAATCCAGGCCAAGGACCCTACACCCCCCAAGCATCCTGAGCCCCAAAACCTTACATAAATCTTATAGAAAGCCCCTTGTGCCTCCGGCCATGCATATTCAGAGGAATCATCCTCCTTGTCCGGCTGCGTGGGAGGACTTAGCTCCTCCTGTCTGCGGGTTTGGGGTTTGGGGTCTAGGGCTTAGGGGTAGTTTTGGGCTGCATGGGCGGGAGTTTAAGGTTTTGAGGGGTCAAGGGCCCGCCCCTGCGCAAAACTCTGGAGTTTTTGATGCCACGGCGGCTTGAAGAACTTAGCTTACCATCGCGGCACCATGTACCAGGATTGCAGAATCATTGCCAAATTGCGGAAAGGATGCCACTGACTTCTTAGGGTCCTACCATTGGGCTGGAGATGTTTCAAAGCCCTATGAGACGTTCCCAACGCTGAGGCAACCATTCCTGATCAGCTCATGTCGGCCGCCCCAAACAGGAACATCTTCCGATGAATTAATTAAGTAATCAGTGCATAAGATCTGCAACAAATTGGCTCAAGCCAATTAAGTCAAATGAAAGATATTCCCCTGGGCTGCTGTATAAGCCAGAATAGAATGACGAACATGGGGGGAGTTCCTTGAATTCCTGGATTTGTGTCTTGTTTTGTAAAGGGATCCGTCCAAAAGACGTCCAAAAGAATCTAAAAGAACATGTTATTGATATTGGGGTTCCATTGGTTCCCCAAGTGCTTACGAATTTTAGTAAAGTTGTATTTCAAAATCTCTGGAATCCTTTAGGGTGTCATTATGTGGTGAGGGAGTTACATCGAAATGTAACATGTTCCCCAAGCCTGTATGGTTCTGACATTCAAATCAAGGCAGAGAAGAAGCCCTTCCTGAAGTATTTGGCAATCCCAGAGAGAAATTCTGCTTGTCGCGGTGTCCCAGTAACACTACAGAATCATACTGTCAGTACTCAAACCCTAAATCCTGGAGCTCTTGCTACCTTTAATTCAAATCCTGATGAAACGCTCGGATGAAATACGCTGACACAGGGGGCTAAAGAATTTCAACAGGATACTCAGACACATTATACTAGACCTGGGGAAAAAGTGATCTGGGCCTCATAAAGGACTCCAAGAAATCCGGACGCCTTTGAGTATTTGGGGGTGTATTGGGGGCCCTATTTTGGAAATGCCCACCACGTACACTCCAATAGATCCCACAAGGCTCCCTATCTTTCCCAGTAGAATTGCCGACAGGATGCTGGCTCCTGCTGCTCATTCACCTCCTCTGTGCTATCCTGTGAGAAGCCGCATGCTGGTGTTGAAATTCATGAAGCATGGTCAAGGTTGATGCATAAGGGGCTATATGGCGAAGGCCTTCTAAGGATGAGAAGCCAAAGTTATCCTTCCGGTTAAGAGGCCCCTACTCTCCCCTTGACCTTCGTTCACACCTCTGAAGGATTTCGAGTCCTCTTAGTCATAGGATAGCATAAGATATCATATCTTATGAAAGCATACACGCAAAACAAAGGGACTTGCTGCGCTGACTCGGGGTTCAATACGGCCGGCAAACGAAGATTGGCACTACCCGCAGACCCTCATCAGCCACCCTCTGAGTGAGTGCGGACACTGCCTGATCATTACCTGCACAGTCGAGAGACGTGGCAAGCGCCTTTATTGATTGAGACTATGACAACAATACCCAAAGGTCTGGGGATAATGACTGTAACTTCAACCCTGGCCCCAAACCCCGAGCTGAAATCCCCGTGATAGGTGTAAGGAGATAGTTGGAAACTGAGCTGCCCTGGACCAAAAAAATACCCGAGTGAAAGGTCCAGGTATTCTCCAGAATTACCCTGAGCCCTGCCGTCCATGTCTTCTAAGCCTGAAGCCCACTTGATGCTTTAAACTGTGAACCTCAAAGATCGAACCAGCAATACTCACATCCCATTATACTATGGCAGCTTCCATTTTCTTTTCCATTATCCCTATAACCCCCCAATATACTATAGTAGGGTCCATTTGATTGTCCATTATCCCAATATTACCTCAATATACTAAACTATGGCTGTGGCCTTGAGTGGGAATTTGAGCTTCAAAGGCTCATCCACCTCAGGTTGGCAGCTCAGACTTCAGATGTGGAAGGGATAGGAACAAGGGTAAAGGGTTTAGGGTTTAGGGTTTAGGGTAAAAGGGCTTAAGACTTTAAGTTTGGGGCTATGGGACCCCCCGGATTGTAAGTTAGGGGCTTAGGGTCTAAGAGCTCAAGTTTAGAGTCGTCTGGGATGAATCAGCACCCTAATTTCCTTAGAGCAACCTGGGCCATCTGTCACAGCAGAAACCTCCCATTTCCCGAGAATAGGTGAATGACTCAATTCCCTGGAGCCCTGCTAAGACAACAGACTTAGCTATCTTTTGCATTATACAAGGAAAAGTAGGAATCATAAAGAAACTTTGTGCAGGTGTCCTATTGCTCCCTCAAATGCTTGGAAGCTGAATGTGACAATGCCGTTCAGTTTTTTGACAAGCCTTCCAAAGCTTTCCTAGCTCCAAACTCTACAGCCTGAACACAGAAGCTTAACCCACTACAACCATGAAACCCCAAAGCCCAAAATCCACATCTAGTGGTCTGACCTGGGCGGCGTTGGATAGGTCGGGATCCTGCCGGCGCTTGGTCTAGGCTTTAGGGCTGAAGGCTCGAGGCTAAGATCTGGAATTGAATAGTTGGCATAACCTCGGGGAAGCTTCTGTGGGTTTGGAATGCTCTGGATGAGCATTGCTTAAAAAAGATCTCTTGTTGGCGTCCCTACATGCAATACGCATCGGGTGGGGCCATGGTAGAAAAGCAGGCAGGGACCCATCTCAACTGTGATTCCTGATGCCTGCCTACCTGCTTACGACCTCTTCGCAGTTGCATATCACAGTATACGATGGGCGTGCTGGTAGAACTTTAAGCGTTGCGAACCCTGCCAACTAGCCTCAGACATGATTATAAACGATGACATTGATTTACCCATGTTGAAGAGACCTGTAGCAATATGGCAATATGCTTGGTGGATTGGGTGCTAACATCACGATGTCCGCGAATAGCTGCAAATCACCGCGCTTAGGAAGTGTAGACTTTGCCGTGGCCGGTACAGCGGACGTGGCAGCCTGAGAAGTGCAAGATTGCTACGCATGACAGCATTTTGGAAGATGAATGTAGTTGCAGCTTCCAGCCTTCAACCCCTAATCTACCTTTGAACACCCAAAACTAGATCTTGCCCAAGCCAAGACTGGTGACTTCACCTGTATCTTGTATGCTTGCAATTACTCCTAAATACCAAGAATTACAAATTGTATGGGGCGTGCAATCATGACTAACAGTCTCTTGTTGGTTCCAAGATCTGAACTTCCAAGCCCACCCAAAAGCGTTGAGAGCAATGCTCGAAATCTTGAACTTGTTTTACTTCGCAATCACGAAACCTTGGACTCCTTCCACCCTCCACCCCACATCCGAAGCCAAGCAAACACTAAACTTGTCCCCTAGCCGATCCACAGACCGGAAAGGCCTGAGCGAAACCGGTGCTGAGCTTTTGCACGTCCACTCGTGCGGGCGAGTCCTCCGTCGTGATATACTGAGATTTTGCAAAAAGCACTGCATTTACCTTCCCTTTCACGTCTTTCAGGCATATCTGCAATTTAGCGGTGTAGCGGGCTCTTGGCTTGGTGTCAGGCGACAGGTTGGGGTGCGCGGTCATACCTTCAATGCCCCTAAGAGCGCCAACTGCAAACAAGGTTGACTGAAGACTCAATGTTCAATGTTGCTGCTTAGGATCTGGGAAGTCAGCCTCAAAGGCTCTTGCATATGCTTATGCAGGCGTGTCAGAGGCTGGAGACTTGCACACAAGCGAAGTGCACTGCCAACAGTACTTCCTCAGCCCTCCACTAGCGGGAGCACAAAAAAGCCTACAAGAAAATCTGAGCTCCATGGTGTCGCCAGGGCTTCTCTGGGACCTAAGGCAAATATGCAGGGGCAATGTTGTAGCCTTATCCCAATCGGCAGGTTTACGCAGAATGGGCCTTTGGCCCTTTAAGGGATACATCGAATACCTATACTATTTGCGAGCACGAGCGGGGCAACTACAAGAAGAATCGCATTGACAGAGCCCTCTTGAGCAGCCATTAGAATTTGTTACACGGATCGCTGCCTTCATTCCCAGCAAGCATGAGACAAGCGGGACAACCTTTGAGGGAACCACTTCAGAGCGTATGCTTTACTAAACATCCGGCTCATAGTAGTCCCTGGCTTGAGCTTTAAAGTATCCTAATTAGACATTCCCTTTTCGTTAAGGGTTCCAATTCCGACAGGACTTGCCAAAAGCATAGTCTCTTTCTCGGATCCCTTACAGAATATGGCACCTAATCGTCATGGTCTCGGATACCCCACCCAAAAAAAAACACAACTTTTGCCAGCCTTCCATGTAAGAAACTTATGGAATCCTATAAGCGATCTTTTCTTCGACAAAGTGTTAGCTGCAGTGGAGCCTTGCCCAGCTTGCAAGGGCCAACCGTTTTAGTTCGCGTACAGGATTGACAAGGAGGAGGTTCGAGTCCAGGCTATGACGCATCTGCGACTCAGGGGTAGTTAGGTGAAATAGTAAGTAGGATGAACGCGGTTCTGATGCCTAAGGTTGAGACTTACAACTTAGAACTTACGACATCCACCGGGATATACACCGTACGTTGAGCTACGCGTCAGCATCCAAGTAGCACCCTCATCCATAAGCACCTGTCCCTTTCATGGACAGCTGGATGTTTCAAGTGCATGGGTTGATCCGTCAGTCTACACTCAACTATGCAACCTTGCACAACTTGGTATCATTTTAAGAGCGCCTCAAAAAATCAAAGCTATCATACCTGGGCCCCTTTTGCCTTCTAGCAAATCTCCTAGCCTAAGCCGGTGAAGTCCCAAGACGAAGGCGCGAACTTTGCAAAATCGTATGGAACCAGCGCGGCGTGATGTAGCAGGCCCGAAGTATGTGAGATAAGGGTTTCGGGGGTGCATGGTACGGAAGCTTATGTGAAGACTATGAGGGAAGAGTATCAGAAACTGTTCAGTCTTCTGTGTTACCTGTGAACACCCAGCACCAAAGAGCCTCCAAGCCAGGCAGCTTGCCAACTGGCTCTGCCTTGTCGCCGTTGCTGATCTCCTGCCGTATGGGATCTTTCGAAGGTAGGTGGTGGAGTGCGTAGGCTTTACCAGACTGATTTGGAGGCTTATTCAACAACACATAGCTTGTGGCATAGATGGACAAAGATGGACTTGGGGTCCAGGCCTTGTCCAAACTGAGCGAAATGTTCAAGTCTACCCAGTTTCTTGAGTCTGCGGCTTAGCCTAGTTGACGGTGCCAGGCCTCCAATGTGAGGCTTCTTGTCATTCAAAGGGATCCAGTTGCAGGGTTTGGGCGTTGGAGCTTCGAGGTCTAAGGAAACCAAAGCCTTGGCTTAGGGAGTTAAAAGTCTACTTCTACCTGTTCTACGCCAAATCGTAATTGCCAAAGAATCAGAAGACCCAACCCAACACGCACACCTCAGATCAGAATATTCCTTCTATGTCGCTGCCAAGGTGTTTGCGGAGACTGCCTTCACTGCTGAGTTCAGATCCCAAACCCTGCATCCTATCCCTCAACCCCAATTCCAATTCTTCAGCTCTACGTTATTACATCAATTTTGCACACAGACTCTGCAAAGCTGAGGTTTTGTTCGGCTTTGAATTTCTTCCCGACGCGACTTCCTAGCACCAGTAGTTCTTCTTTCATTGTGAGCCCTCTCCACATCCTAAGCCTTCAACAAACCCCGAAACACCCAAACCTAAACCCGGACCAACCTCATGGACCAACTGCACATCATCCATGGCGTGCAGGCAGCTAAAAGCATCTTCCAGAATCTCTACGTGTCTGAGACGTTGGCTGGGAGTGGCTGGGGTTGAGGCTAAGTGGTTTCGATAACGATGAAACAAGGCACTGCAGATATTCTAGGCATTGTCAGTTGTTGTGCAGAGCTGAGTTTCACGACTCCGGGTTGAACCTCGGGGGCTAGGGCTGTCCAAGAGGTCCGAGCTTCTTGGGTCTAGGTATCCGACAGATGAGAAAGTAACAAGTCGTGGATTGCAGGCTCCTAAAACTGACGGGGAATCGTAACCTCAATCCGCGCAAGTCTTGTCAAACTTGTGTTGCGACCGTTGGAATGAAGGACTTGCTGCTTGGTCGTCTCTCAGAACCAGTAGCTGCGGACTGGTTGTTCAAGCTGGCATCAAGCCCTCTATCCAAGCGGCGATTAGGGAGCTTAACGCCCAAAAGACTCCACAGCTTGGAACAGCATTTTTGAAAGGCCCCCCTCATACTTAAGGAATGCCGTATACCTTGATTCTGGGGCCTCTTGTTGTGGAAGCTGACGCGTTTGCTTGGGGCATCTTTCACCTCAATCTTGTTTACTGCTTTCGGCAGACATGGATCGGAGCTTCTCAAGAAGTATCACTGCCCTGCACCATCCGTCGCGAAGATGGTTCCTGAACTTTCATCAGTTCCCAATTCAAGCAAATTCGCGACTTGCGTCATCTTCAAATGCAAGAAGAAGAGGCTGCAAAAATGAATTGTGGTCCCGGGCTCGAGGAAATCTTTCTAGGAGAGTCCAGGGACTGGGATGTTGAGTCGCAGCATTGCCGAGTGATGGAAGGCTTGGGGCTTAGGACTGATGGCTTAGGGCCACGTAGAAGGTTAAATAATTAGGAAGATTAACCCCTTAGAAATCCGCGAATAATTCTGGCATCATATGCGCAAAGCCCTGTACCTGACTTGTGCAGGCTCCTGGTCGAGGGTCATCCGGTGTTCAGCCACTTCTCTGTTTCTGTTGCTGGGAGTTCACAAGTAGTTCCAAGCGAGGTTGCAAGTACTCTGGTTTGGATGATAATCTCTACTCTCCTACGCATGCCATTGCCCAGTTATGACTACTAACGCGCTTTGGAACCCATACTTAATTGATTCGGGGAGTGTGGTAGCCTTTGAAAGGATGCCATGATAGCGATCTTTTGGGGAGGCCCTGAATACTTCCAGCCCCTGGTATACCACATATGCGGGTTAGGATTAGGGTTAAGGGTTACTTTTTGCCTAGAATTGTTTTCCATACTATGCTACACTATACACATGTTCCATACCCAATGCCGCAAACAATAACAGCACTTCGGCCTCTTAAACCCCAAAACCCTAATGCGTGAACCCTAAACATCCTACAAGCCCCAAACCCCAATGCCCTGATCACCTTGCCATTTCTTCAGTGGTGCTGTCATCAGCTTTGGCGCTCAGAGGCCTCGGCTGGGAAGAGGCTAGCACTTGCTAAATGGGAGTGATAATTTAGGCGTTCAGGGCTTGGAAGTCAGGGCTTAGGTTTTCCAATTTAGGGGCCCAAGGATGAAGATCTAGGGCTCAAGGTTTAAGGCTCAGGGTGCCCATTGCAAGGCTCTTCCCTGATCCCTAAACGTAGACTCTAAGCATACTCACCTGAAAACCCATCCGACACACGCACAAGGGCGGCCAAGAAAGGCTGCAGAAGGATTACATAGGTAAGGCTTTAGAAGGTATGCTGGGCCTTATAGGAAATGCTGTTAACATTGTCCAGAATGGCACTGAGATCTAGCGCTCAAGACACGACAAAGATAAAATTGAACTTGGAATGCCGAAGCTGACATTGTAGGGGCAACTCATGCGAATAGAGTCTGTCATCCTAAACGCCCCTTCAACCCACGACCCCAAAGCTACAAACCTTTGAACTCTCACTCTCCCAACCATAATCCCAAAAGTGAAACCCAAACTTTCTGAAAACCCTGAGACCAACTCCTTCGCACAATCTGAAACCCAAAACCAATCCATGCAACCATTTCTGTAGATTGACACGCTCCGCAATCAGGCAAGAAGTAAACATCCCTTCTTCCTGAAGGACGCTCAGACTGACCTGAGACCAAGACGCGCTAATCCTACATCCTAAAATCCCAGAAGAATTCCTATCATCCCCACAAAACTTTTGTGCCCGAAGTCTGCTAGATTACCTGCGAAGCTGCTAGTTGGGACGAAAGCGGCCAAAAATGTGCGATTTCTAGGAACCTTCATAAACATCTCTCCTGCACCGAGCTACAATATTTATGAGAACATGCAAGTCATTGCCTGGCAATATCCCATAGTCCGGGATTATTCCCTGTACAGGCCATACTACCGTGTTTGTTCCACAACCCTCGCATAAAGCACGACGGCTTTAGCTGCTCACTGAATTTCTAGTGACCCCAAAACTGCAAAGTTTTCCAGGACAACCCAATACGCATGTTTCGCACCAAGGCGAGGCACATCATCTCCAGGGGCGGCACCACCTCTGCGGCAGCCAGGAAGGCTATCAGACCCTCGTTGGAGACCTGGGCATGGTGTTTGTGGAGGATTCAGAGGATCCATACCCTCAACATAAAGAACGGTGCGTGGATATGAGCACACACACATATGAGCCTGATCGCCAGCTTGGGAAGCAACAAGGACCACGGAGTTTAGGGTTATGGAAGAGCTTCGGGTATGGGGTCCTGTAGGATCTCAAAGTTTCTTGGGCACCTCAAGGAACATATGGCATAAGTGTAGTTATTCAGACTCAGAGAGGTCTTGGATGCAGGTTTGAGTTTGCTAGTAGGGACAGTGGGGGTTTTGGCGGTGTACACTTAATTCAACTGGGTTATGCATTCCCAATCAGGTGAACAATGCCGTTCGAGGAAAACGCGTCTACTGTCCTCCCGGAAATATATCCCCGGAGTAAATCAATAACTTGGCCCTCCTTGCAAATCGTCATCGGTCACATTCTGATGATGAACGCACCCAAGAACAAGAAACCCTGAACAAGCAGGAAATGATGAACTAGAAAAGTCTTTGCCTATCCGGGAGCCCGCAAGAAATGCGATCAAACCTTGTATACACCATTCTCTTGTCACGAATGACCTGGAAACAATCTCGCCGAGGGAAGCTCGGGGGAGTCTAATCATGACATCGGCAGAGTACGATGTCCCAGTTTTGCAACAATGGCTGGACAATGCAACATCAGCCAGAGTGCCACGTGAAGTGAATGACCGTCTTCAAGAAGACCGCCTTGCACCACTCGCAAGACAGAGTGCAAAGGGTATGGGTTTTGGGCTCGTTGAAAGTTTCCCATTCAAGGCGGCATGCAGATACAAGGGTTTGCAGTACTGGTCAACCATCTCGGAATTTGCGCTTCGGGCGATTTGCCTCGCAGAAACGAAGCAATTTGGCCGTCAGCGCAGTCCTTGTTTCTTCATGTCAAACCTAACTCCCTGTGAACATGATGTTGTCTCTTTCGCATTGTATCGAGTTTCTGTTGTGAACCAAATGAGCAACCGTCGGATTAGGACCTAAATGACATCATTGCGGAGCTTGCAGCCAGAAAGCTATTTTTGATGACCGCCCATCTTCCAAGCTTCCACCCTCAAACCTTCTGTGGACCCAAAGAACCTGAACCAAAAACCGAGAGCCATGCTGAAGGTCTATGGCTCCAAGCTTTGATCGTGAACCAACAGTAATGCCTAAAGCGGAATCTTTACACTAAAGCTTGAACGTTCCCAGCTAATCCCGAATCCTAACCCGAAGCCGTGAACACTAATCCCGAAATACCCACGCATGATGTATAAGGCCTGATGCGTCCTGCTCCAAGGCTTGCACAGTAGCGGCCTGTGTGGGCGGCTGACTGGGCGGATTTCGGGCTTATAGTTTCGGATGGAGGGTTCAGGATTAAGGGTTTGGGATTGGCGCGGGATGTGTGAATCAATCCCTCTGCATTCTGACCTTGCTTAGGCTGGTTGATGGGGCTGTCTCCAATTAAGTCTTGAGCCAGAGGGCTTCGAAGTCAATGGCAGAGGCCTCATTTGGAAAGTGGAGGGAACGTCCCAACTACTCCTGAAGCCTAAACAATGCCCTTGACATCAACAACAGCAAAAAATCTGTGCCAACATGAATAGCGAAACCCGCAGACGCCACTACCACAAACCTTTGAACCTACCTCACGTAGGTGAAAGCCCTAGGGTCAACACCACTTGCCGCGGCAGCTTGGCATCTCCAACAAAGGCCCTCCATCATGCACCCAAAATCAAATAGCCATTCCTATCAGAGTCCGCAGTTGCGAGAAACCCCAATGCTAGAACCGTAAGCTTCCCCACAACCTTTATATAACCCTTTTCGAAGACACAGACCTTCGATTCTTCAATAAACCCTGAACCTGCCCTCAAACCCGAAGCCTCAAACTGTAAAAGCATGGTGATCTGCTGAGGGCACGGCAGCTCTAGCTAAATCCTGCCAATTGAGGCTGGAACCTATCAGAAACAAGAATTAGTGCCGGCGAAGACCCCAAACACGCGGATGAAAGTTGTAGTTGGCGCTCAACGCTTATCCGATGAGAATGCGAGAAAGCAAGTAGCAAGAAGTCAACAGTTATAGAAAACATCTACATACACATATTCGTTTTCTTGGTCAAAGAATATCAGCATTGCAAGACGATATTGTAGCTCAAGGTGCTTTGAGTCAAAGTTGTGGGATTTAGTTTTAGGGGTGAGGGTATAAGGTTTAGGGGTTAGAATGGAAGGATTTTGATCTCATGCTTTAACCCGGCAGATTTTGGAGTTAGGGCGTAGGGTTGACCGATAATTTAGGATTTGGGGACTCGGGTTTGAGGTCTCATTTCGGTTGTCGGGGTGCGGGCATCATGTACTGATGGTTTTCTGAAGCGAAATGACAATGTCTTTTTGGACCTAAGGTTTGGGCCTTGGGTCCGTGAAGGCCTCAACATATAATCCCCCATAGTCCCTACGAATTGCCCTGCTAC